ACGAACGCATTTCATACATTGCTTAACCGAATACAGTAGTATTGGAGAACCAATGTGGAACTGAAGTGCTAATATTAGAAAAAACTAAATGTCCTTGACGAGCATTCCTGGCAAGTGCATCCGCCTTGCCATTCTTATCCCTGGGGCAATACACAAGTGTAAAATCCGGGAAGTCAACTCGTAAACTCTTCAAATCTTCCAACTCCGTTGTAAATCGGGGCCAATTCGCCGGATCACTTACCATTGTGATTAGTTTCTGTGAGTCTGTCGCGAACATCGCACAATACATTTGTTTCCTCCGTAGACTCCTCATAACCCAAAGCAGACTGAGTAGCTCTGTATGGAGAGGGGAGAGCCCCCGATGTATTCCCCGGACTCCGAGTAGATCTGTATCCCCGTCTTGTAATTGCAGGACCCACCCTAACCCACTCGTGGGTTCTCCATCCTTCCAAGATCCGTCCACAAAGTATTTGAAGGTCGCATTCGCCATCTCTGGGATGACCACCTGTTGGCTTACCGGAGCAGTTTCTAACACACTATTATCGAGGAACCAGGTCTCAGCCTCTTTTGTGGCTAGTTCAATGATCGCTTGTGGAGATCTGTCAAAAGCATTGAACAGCTTGTCGTTGCGAGCTTTCCATAAATACCAAAGTATCCATGGGTAACATCGTACACTCTCCGCCATCTCTGTCCGATTGGATATTCGCGATAGTAAGAAATCCATATTCCTCCACAAATTCTCCGATGAAAACACCGAAGGAGAATAAGGGATTCTTGACAGAGCCCAACATTGACGTGCCGGGGGCATGTCAAGATCCACTCACCCTATCTAAACTAAAAACTACCCACTCACCTAATAAAAAACTTAACATGACCCTATCTGCTAACATTCCCTTAATTAATTTTGTGTACTTGTATAAAAATTAAGCTACTCTTTTTCTCATTCCTTTCCATTATATTATTCACTGCTCTCCACTTTTTAAGTCTTATATAACAACTTTTGATTATTCTATTAGTTTTTCTATCGTTTATATTTCACACACTCATATTTGATAAAACCTACTTCGTGGCCCATGACATTAATATTAACCATTAGACTACCAATTACAATGGATTCGCCCACATCCAAAAACCATAAAACGCTAAGAATATCTCACTGACCAATAGCTCACATAGTAGTCTGATTGCCGATTGGTAACGAGCTGTAAATGAGTATCATTGAAACCTAACAGCCATTATGAAACAAAAGCATTTATTCATTTCCTGACACAAAAAAAGAAAGACGACAAAAGATTATACCTTGCACCATAGTCTTTTTTTTTGTTTTTTTGATCAAATCACATCCATAGTCTATATGTCTTTTTATATAATAAAGTCTATAGTCTAGGACTCTAGATCTTACAATTTTAAATCCACCAGCTAGAGTTGTTATCGATCATTGACTTATAGTCACTACTCCAAAGACCTTTAACTTTC